CAGAACACCCCCTCCCCTTCTGCCTCCCACACCCTGCACAGCAAGCAGGAGGATCCCGGGAGGCAGCTCCAAGGCAATGGGCAGGAGCAGCTTGACAGTGGGTGGAGGGGCAGCTGAAGTGCCAGCGCTTGAGAGCTTCCTGGCCAAACCAGTCAGGATCAAATGTCAGAGGCTCCAAGATCTACTGGTAGATCCCCATCCAGAACACCCCCTCCCCTTCTGCCTCCCACACCCTGCACAGCAAGCAGGAGGATCCCGGGAGGCAGCTCCAAGGCAATGGGCAGGAGCAGCTTGACAGTGGGTGGAGGGGCAGCTGAAGTGCCAGCGCTTGAGAGCTTCCTGGCCAAACCAGTCAGGATCAAATGTCAGAGGCTCCAAGATCTACTGGTAGATCCCCATCTACTGGGTGGTGACCATTGTTCTAGTCCTTGGGTTTTATTCATCCTGTTCTGCATCCCACGACTGCTGGTCTTATATTTGGAGCCACTTGGTGCTCTGCCACCTGCTCAGGGCTTCCAGTGATCCGAGGCTCTCGCCCCAGGGGTTGAATATGCTGTACCTACATTGTTGGTTCATAATGGACCAGCGATGGAACTCCAGTCTGCAGCACAGTAGCACTAAGCCAGCCCTAGATTGCTCTTTGAAGGCCCTCTTTCGATTCTTGCAATGCCAAGTAAGAACGTGGCAGTTCTGTTCTGCTACCACTTAGACTGGGCATGTCAGCCAAATCCAAGTTGCCTATAAAGCCGTATCAGGAATGTTTGGGTTTTTTTTTTTTTTTTTTCCTCTCTTAGCCACTTACCTTCTTGCCCTATTCCAGGAGCAATGTTCATGGCCCCGGCTCAGATGGCATACCCTGCAGCCTACCCTGGCTTTCCAGGCGTCGCCCCACCCAGCAGCATGATTGGCGGCATGATGGCTCCACCAGTAGGAATGGTGGCCCAACCAGGGGCTGCGGGGATGGTGACCCCGGTGGCTATCCCGGCTGGATACGTGGGTGGCATGCAGCCAGCTGTCATCGGCGTCCCCAATGGAATGATGGCAGCACAGCAGGCCGGGTATGTTGCTGGCATGGCGGCGGTACCGCAGCCGGTGTTCGGGGTGCAGCCGGCTCAGCAGCTGCAGTGGAACATTGCTCAGGTGAGAGGGGTCTGTTCCTGCTCATGACCCGACATGGCTCATATTACTGTATAATGCTTGCCTTTCTTCCAGGGAGTATCACATGCTTCATAAACCTGCAGCTAACTAGATCAGCACCTACTTGTTCAGGGGAGATTCAGGAGTCTTGGCGCTTAGTCTCCTCTTTTCTAAGGGGGGATATGATAGAGGGCTATAAAATCATGACTGGTGTGGGGAAAAGTGAATAAAGAAAAGTTTATTTACTTGTTTCCACAATATAAGAACTAGGGGAACACCAAATAAAATTAATAGACATCAGGTTTGAAACAAACCAAAGGAAGTTTTTCTTCAGCGCACAATTAACCTGTGGAACTCCTTGCCAGAGGATGAAGTGAAGACTAGGACTTTAACAGGGTACAGAAAAGACCTAGATAGGTTTATGGAGATGAGGTCCATCAGTGGTGTCCCTAGCCTCTGTTTGTCTGGAAATGGGTGACGGGGAGGGATCACATGATGATTACCTGTTGTTCTCGCCCTCTGGGGCATCTTGTATTGGCCACTGTCTTCAGATGGGATACTGGGCTAGATGGACCTTTGGTCTGACCCAGTCTGGCTGTTCTTATGTTCACTCAAACCCCCTCCTGTTCACTTGTCGTGTCTATAGCATCATAGCGTTCTCAGTAGCACTCCAATTTGCAATACCGTTGTATAGTTTAAAACCCCACCCACCAAGCCTCAGGACTGAAAGAAATGTACAGTACTCCAGGGCAGGGCTGCGGAGGTTAGCCCAGTCCTGGAACAGGGGGAGTCAGCTGAGCAGACTGAGTTGGTGCCACTAGAAAGCTAGCACACCTCTCCCCTGTGCCTTGCTGGCATCCAGGCTGCAATGACATGGACTCCGTAACTACTACGTCATCCGCAACTGGAAAGGAGGGTGGCTCTTCCTGCATGCTAACGCGCTGAACTGCATTGCCTGGCTTACATCTGACTTTGTGATTTGGCAGGGTATGATGCTTTGTACTGGCATAACTAGGGTGTTTTTCAGTCCTGGCTCTAATTGGACTGTGTGTAACAGACACGGGGCTCCAGGATACCCTGAGAAATCAGACTCTGGCCTTGTCTTCTGGCTTTTTGTTCTAGTAAAATAGATTAGTCTCTCTTGCTGAAGACAGCTGTCAAGCTGCAAGAACCAGGTGCCTTGCCTTGCCTTTGGTTACCCTGCTTTTACCCCTCAAGCTTGGATCCAGCAAAGCACTCCAGCACTTATTTAACGTGAAGCCTGCGCTGTCGTCCCATAGAAATCAGAAGGGTTATTCCATGTGCTGAGCTTTCAGCATGTGCCAAGTGCTTTCCTGCACTGGGGCCTAGATCTTTTTTTGCTGTGTGTCTTTTAAAACCATTTCCCTGACCTAGCTTGTCTCCTTTCCTCCTCAGATGACCCAGCAGGTGGCTGGGATGAACTTTTATGGAGCGAATGGCGTGATGGGATATGGACAGTCAATGGGCGGAGGAAGTGCCCAGGGAACCAATCAAACCCTCAGCTCTCCAATGTGGAAATAACCCTCTTCCTGCCCGATATTATGACCACTCCTTTGCCTTTTGTTCTGTTTTTAAAACTGCTCCATAAGGCATTCAGGGTTTGTCTCTGGCTCTGTTCAGCCTGAACCTTTGTGTTCCCCATAACTGGGACCCATCTCTTCCTTTTCACTGTCAAAGCCACAGGGAACCCTCACTGCCCAGAACACCACTTTCAGCTTCTCTGCATCCAGCACAGTGAAATGCAAATGCTCTGGAGGGTGTGGTTTCCCCCAGCTGCCACTCATGCTTCTGGGATAATATGTGCCTCTGTAGGAAGACCGTCTCTTGCACGTCTCAGGGGAAGGATGAATGAGGTAGTTGTGAATTATATTGTTACTGGCCCCACTTCCGGCCTTTGTGGAATTGGGTTTTAATACAATTATGGTACTAGCGGGGTTTGGTTTGATTAGGGAAAGCCCGGGCCTGGGGCTGAGGAACTGGATTTCCGTCCAACTCAAACCCTAAAATCTTGCCGCCACTCGTTACTCTGGCGTTCTTCAAAGCTGAGGCCTCCCTATCTTGGCTGGTCAGTCTTCATTGGAACCAAAGTCATGCTGAAGGCCCCTCCTGTGAGCAAGCAGGAGTCTGGCACGTGATGGGGTGCACACTGCTTGGAATGTGAAACTCGCACTTCAGAGTGAATTTTTCTGTCTAATCTGTGGTGTTGATGTAATTTAAAACAAACCAAAAACAACTTTTAATTAACTAACCGAGACAATTAATTTATAGAGGGTCAAGAGCCCATCACAAGCCTTTCTTACACTTTTAAAAGGACCATGACATTCTAATTTATATTTTTTCACATCTTTTTGTTCATGTGTCATCCCCATCCCCAGCTTTCTCTCGACATTCTGATGCTGCAGCACAGAAGGGAGGTGGTAAAGAAGCAAGTTTTCTTGTCCTTCACAGCCACCTCACTAAAAAGCAGACAGCTGAAAGATGTCATATGCGTGAGCAAAAAATTGAGATGTACCTGGTTTACTTTATCCTGTGTATATGTAAATTCCTTAATAAAAAATTGCAGTGAAACATCAGTGGACTTTATATTCTTGTTGGTACATAAATATTTCATTTGGAATCTGTCAAATGAGGAGTGGTGGTGATTAACTCATTGCAAGGGTGCAAGGGTTCAGATCCTTAATCAAATGAGTTTGCTTTCCAGTGGGAGCATTTCCATTTTTGAGACTAGAGCACCACTGTACTGCTTACCTTGCCTGGGATTCTTTGGGTTTGTCTACGTGTAATGTTGCACTAAACGTGACTTGCAAATCAATGGGTTCATACAGTGATTTGCATCCGGCTTTCCAAGATCCGTCTACCTTAACTGTGTCTACAGCAAGGCAAATAAAACAGGACTGTTCTGTTTACACTGCCATACTGCAGTCTTGACTGGCAGGGTTATGATGCTGCAACAAGATCCAAATTTAGGAGAACTTCAAGTTCTATCTCTGCTCAGTTTGCCAACAGGGCAACTCCATGCTTGTTGCAGATGAAATTGACCCTCTGAATTTGAAGTCTTACATTTTTGCTGGTGAGTCATCGTAGAGCCATGGATAATACACGCACTCCTCTTGGTGAAATATCGTTGTTTTGGACACCTGGGGGAAAACATCCTTGTCGAAGCAAACACCTCACTCAGTTTACGCGGCTAAACAGACAGTTTTATTGGCTAATAAAAGCAAAGTGAGCCAAACGTGGTCTTAGCAAAGCCGGGTCCAGTAAGGCTGCCTAATACAATCAATTCTAGTATTTTTATACCCTTAACCAAACAGTCTGACGTCAGGGCATCCAATTACAGAAATAATTAATTAAACTAGGAAAAACAAAGCCTTATTAACAAGATGGCGGACAGGTACGAGGGAGTACTTCTTCTTTCTGAACCAGCCTAATTAACACATTTCAATAGCACATCTGTCTTGGCCTGGTGCATGGGGTGATAGAAAGTTTGCTTTTGCCCACGTGCAAAGACAAAAAGCTGAAATGGTTTTTGTTATACAAGATGGCTTCTAGCTAAACATAAAATAGCTTCTACAATCTTGGACACCTGGAGGAAAACATCCTGAACGAATTTTTTTTACTGAACTTGGAGAAGGCAGGGTGTCAAATTCTCTGCACCTAGGAGGTGGCAAATCTCATGTGAAATCATCCGCTTTGACCCTGCTAACAGTACCATGAGGTAGATTTCTTTCAAGCCAGACATTGATCAGTTAGCACACTGATGCAGAACTGAAACCACTACAAGGTCTCATCTAGACAACAGCATATTCCTACCAAAGGGATTTGCCTTTATTATCCTGTTCTAGGGTATGTTGACACTGCATGACTATTGAGAGACCAGAGGTATCCTGAAATCTACACAAGCCGCCCATTATTTTGAAATATTTTTCAAAATAACAGGCATGCTATTTCACCTCAATGCATGAGGGCTAAGGGATGGCTTGGAAAAAAGCGTGTTATTTTGAACATAGCGCCAAATTTCAAAATAAGCTATTTCGAAATCATTTTGAAATAAGATACGCACTTTGTGTGGCATAAATTCTCTTCTTTCAAATTCAGGGTACTGTAAAGATGTACCCCTAGAACGATTTCCCTTTATTTCCTTTATGCCTTTTAGGTTGTGACCCTTTGGTTTTTGTACTACAGGATAAAGGAAGGGTCAAGAGTTTGCCTTAACCATATTTAAAATATAGCCATCTCCTGTAGCCTGTGCCAGCCCTGCCTTTGTAGGAACAACCTACATTTCGAGGTACTTCTCATGTCTACTGTATATGCTGCATTTAGGTGCAGCTGACTAAATGCAGGGCCAAAGCAGATTTCACATGAGATTTGCCACCTCCTAGGTGCAGAGAATTTGACGCCCTGCCTTCTCCAAGTTCAGTAAAAAAAAAAAAATTCGTTCCTGATGTTTTCCTCCAGAGGTGTCCAAAACAACGATATTTTACCACAAGAGAGAGTGCATGTATTATCCATGGCTCTACGATGACTCACCAGCAAAAATGTAAGACTTCAAATTCAGTGTGTCAATTTCATCGGCAACAGGCATGGAGTTGCCATGTTGGCAAACTGAGCCAAGAGAGAACTTGAAGTTCTCTTAAATTTGGTTCTTGTTGCAGCATCATAACCCTGCCAGTCAAGACTGCAGTATGGCAGTGTAAACAGAACAGTCCTGCTTATTTGCCTTGTTGTAGACACAGTTAAGGTAGACGGATCTTGGGAAACCGGATGCAAATCACTGTATGAACTCAGTTGATTTGCAAGTCATGTTTAGTGCAACATTACATGTAGACACATCCATATCATATGGCTTTTTCCTATTCCAGTATTTTCTGCCCTTAAGGTTGAGAGGCGAACGGCATGTTGCATCTTGCATTGTATTTCCTTTCCCTCTGAATTGTGGCTGTTAAGTGTGTGCATCAAACAGCAGTGACCCTTTCAAACATGGCAAGAACAAATCTATCTGGCGGGATGGAAACGGAGGTCTACCCCCTAGTCTTGCTATATTCAGCTCACTTGTATATCTAGCAAATAGCCTCAAACGTGGTGGAGATCAAATGTACTGCAGCCCAAATACAGGTGAAGCAAACAGTTTTCAAACTGGCTTTAATTGTTTTTACTTGCTGCCCAAATACTGTACATGCAGGTACAAGCCAATGAAGAATATGAACATTTCATTTTTTTTGTTTCTTCCTGGAAAATTGGCTAAGAATATTTTACAAAATAACGTGCACCCTCCCATCCATCAGTCCTGCTGCATATAAACCACAAAAATACAAGAGTTTTACATTAGGAAAGACCACACACATAGAAAACATTACATAGCACAAGTATAAAATTGCCGTTTGCTTTTTTTTTAATAATCTACAACCTTTCTTAAGTACCCATCACAGGCCTATCCCCTTGTCTTCAACAATGGAAGTGGGATTAAAACAGTAATTCACCCCCTTCCGTGAATTTATTTGAATGCAAAGTTGCTGCTAGTTACGAATCTGCCATTAAGACCAAGCTTATTTCAAAACTATAAAACCAGTAAGGGGCAATTAACATAGTAAAGAACCCTCAAACTTCTTGCCTAATTATTGAATTTTAGAAAATTAGTTCTCTTTATTAACCTAGAGCCATCCTAACACTGACAAGTGTACAGTAGGTTCTGTTAGACTGCATGCCTCTTCTGACTGTCCTGTGAAAAATAGGAGTTTGCTAAATAGAGATGGGAAGGGTTAACCAGTAAGCCTTACCCTTAATGGACAATGCTTACCAGTTAACCTTAACTGGTGAAGCTGGAGCAACTCCCTGCCTGCTGCAAGTAGGGGTCTGCTGCAGCCCTGCAGGGGGCCCCTCTATGCACAAGGGCTACTCCAGCACAGCCCCTCCTGTGGTGAGCCCATGTGCCCCACAGGCAGGGGCTGCTTCAGCTTGGATGCCAAAGCAGCCCCTGTCTGTGGTAGGTGGGAGCGGCTCTCCTGCTCACCCCACCCCGAACCGGCTAGATAATTGGGATTTTATGTCCCTATTGCTAAATAGCGGGGCTATCCTTTATGCATCACGATGCCTGCTTTTAAAAAGCTCCTGTACTGTTCTTAAACGGTTTATAGGAATTTGAGGCGAGCCAATCCTCTTACCCCATGGAGTGCCAATTGCAGGCGGACCATTGTCCTGTCACTGTCCTGAGTTCAAGAGATGGTGTTTGAAGTTTCCTTACGTAATACTCATGGGTACCCGTGGGCCAAACCATTGGTTACAACTGTTGGGCTATGTCTAGACTGGCCAGTTTTTCCAGAAAATCAGCCGCTTTTCTGGAAAAAATTGCCAGCTGTCTACACTGGCCGCTTGAATTTCCGCAAAAGCACTGACTTCCTACTGTAAGAAATCAGTACTTCTTGTGGAAATACTATGCTGCTCCCGTTCGGGCAAAAGTCCCTTTAGCACAAAACTTTTGTGCAAAAGGGCCAGTGTAGACAGCTCAGATTTGTTTTCCACAAAAAAGCCCCGATTGTGAAAATGGCGATCGGGGCTTTTTTGCACAAAAGCGCGTCTAGATTGGCCACGGACGCTTTTCTGTAAAAAGTGCTTTTGCGGAAAAGCGTCCGTGCCAATCTAGATGCTCTTTTCCGAAAATGCTTTTAACGGAAAACTTTTCCGTTAAAAGCATTTCTGGAAAATCATGCCAGTCTAAACGTAGCCTTACAGTATAGGTGATACCGATTCACCCTGTATTTCTGTAACTCCACTAGCAATGATTCACCTCCTTGAAACCAAAACTGATTTTTGCTCTTTAGCTTCCTGAAGCAATAACTAGTTGTAAGACGAGGGCTCCTGGGCACTGGGATGGGGGTGGAGGTACTTAGCCACCAATTGATGTGCCCAAGAAACCGCTTCCTTTTGGACCCCACGATGACAACTCTCTCCTTGGCACCAGCGTGTGTCTTTGACCCTCCAGCCCTCATTTCTTTTTCAGATTGAGAGCTCCTCCCCCAGATTCAGTTGAGTGGCCAATATCGCAACAAGTTGAAAAAACACCTGGGGGAGCTAAAGGCGACCATCAGATTTTCCCAAAAGCCTCTTGGTAACTTAGACGATGTCTCCACTTGGGAGAATATATTTAATATATTGAGATATACCATCTCATAGAGCTGGAAGGGACTTTGAGAGGTCATCAAGTCTAGTCCCCCTGCCCACATGGCAGGGCCAAGTACCATCCCTGACACATGGGCCCCAGATCCCTAAATGGCCCCTTCAAGGATGGAAATCACAACCGCGGGTTTAGTAGGCCAATGCTCAAACCGCTGAGCTAGCTCCCCCTAGAAGCTGAGCTCTCTCTCCCCCACCAGTCAACCCTGTGGCATTGGCTCTCTCAGCGGACGATTTAGCAAGTCTAGTAAAGACCCGCTAAATCAAACACAGGCGTTCCTCCCATCAACCTCCTGCTGTGACAATGGTGCCAAAGCTCACTTTAAGGTACATCAACTCCAGCGATGTTTATTTTACGTAGCTGGAATTGCCTACCTTGAGCCGGCCTTCCCCCGCAGTGTGGAGC